TCATTCTAGAGATTTTATTTCTTTTTATTCGAAAGAGCATGTCAATCTGGAATGTTTGTTAGAGCCTTCTTTTTTATATTCTTCGGTTTTTGTGCGGAGACAAAAAAAAAGAATTAAATACTTGAAAAAACTCAACAAATGGTAGCGCAGTGTCAAATTAAAAACTTATATCGTCTATGAATGAAAGATCGCATCCCGGTATATTTCTCCGTGCATTTATCTCAATTTCGATCTTTTCTGACGAAAATTGACTTTTCTTTAAGAGAAAGGGCTTAATTTCAGATCCAGTTTATATTGAACTTGGAGCCTTAAAGAGAAGAATTGTCATCAGCTTATCAAAATATCTTAACTATGATTCAACTTTAGATTGATTGTTTTCTGAGAGCAGGTAAAAAATAACTGAAATCTGAATCCTTCATTTGGTTATGTACACAGTAGATGACAAATATTGATGAAAAAAAACTCAGGTACAGATCCGACTATGTCCAAATCTGAAACTGCTAGCTCTAGATTAATAAAAATATGGACCCGAAACTCTATAATGATCATGAGTAAAATGCGGAAAGATAATTTCTTCTCGAAATACAAGATTCCAGTTTGCTCATTACATTTGATTTTTCTGGAGGCTTCCTGGAAACCATAAAGATTGTGCCATGATTTTTCCTGAATAAAAAAGTACAAAACTTAATTGAATCACAAGCTTTGATGCATTTTTCCTCGAAATAATACATATTCATATCCTTTTTACATAATACCCGATGTATTCATTTAACAATAAGCAAGCCAAATGTTTCTAAACAGTTTTACGTTTTAATCTTATCATAATGCTACTAAAAGATTTCATTTTCTTTTCAGGTCCGTCAATAAGTCCTCAATTAAAAGTTGCTGTCTTCCAATACTTAAGTACAAGTAAGTGTTACTCATCTTTAATTTGTTTCATGTTGTGTCACTTTACCAACCATAGTTATTTCAATGTATGCTACATAGTAGGCAATTTCCATCAAGCACATAAACATGACTTAGTTTACGTCCAAAACGATTTTTATTCATAAAAATATAGCTTCCTGTACTCAAAAAATAAGACTGATGAAGAAAACGACCATGTATAATAGGAAATCCTTGAGGAGAATCCATTATACTATCCTCTTATAAAAAAATTGACAAATGATAGAACAATTGATGCAGTTTTTGACGTTGATTCAATATACGTCTTTTATTTTTTGTCACAATGCTTCTGTGACAGAAAACGTAAAACAGCTGTAAAAGCCAAGGAATTTACAAAATGAGTATTTCGATTCAGAAGCATTGGCGTTAACTAAATTTATGTCCAAGACATAGAGAATAACATTCTCTGAACGTTTCGTCGATATCACATGAGTGGAGAAAAGAGACAGCTAACTTTACTGAAGATGTCTTTTCGTAAAACGAATAGTTATGTTTTCAGAGCGAAAATTATTCTTATAAATCGATATAGCAGAAGTTTTAGTTTCAGACTATATATGATTTATTGTCCAACTTTTTTTATTTTTCACAAAAAAACATAATGCTTTTCTTTCAAACTGCTGAAACTTGATCTTTTTGGACACTAAATTTTTCCAATGAATTTCACAGCTTAGAAAAAAACTATTTTTAGCAAAAAACTGGTAGTTAATTAAAGTGTATTAGTTACTATTGAAATCTCGGAAAAGCTCACTACCATTTTTTTTTTACTTGATATTCACGTTTGTTGCCCACTGTGTATCGCATTCTGTAAATATCTTCTAATAGGTAAATGTTTCTTCTCTCATTTAATGTTTCTTTTCTAACAGAAGATAAAAACCAAGCTGATGAACTCTATTGTCTTTAATTTAGATGTTCAACAATTTACATCAGGTTTTATTTCTCAAGAAATTTTAAAAGTTCTTCTTAATTATAATATATATGCTACAATAAAAAGTCAAGCTAATCAAACAACAAATTCAATTTATTTATATAAAAAAGGTTTTCGTTACGAATTATTTACATTAGTTATGCAAGGAAATGCAATATTAGAATCTGGTGTTGAACACATTATGTCAACAGTTGGACCATTTTGTTGTTTTGCTGCATCAGCATTACTTGCAGAAAATAAAACTGTTAAAGATGTTCATCAATTTCTTGATAATTTATTTACAATAAATTCCAAAACTAATAATAAAACAGATTTACTTGATGAAATTTCATCCATATTTATTTCGGATTATAATTTAATTGTTAATAGTGAATTACATGTTCTACAAATCCATCGTCTTGTTTGGTTAGCTGCTGTTCGCGCAACACAACGACAACGTGGAAATGATCCATATTATAGACGTATGCAACCTGAACAATTATTATCGAATTCACTCGATGAAATTGTACGAGATTTTTTCTTTTCATATATATATATATATCTATATACTTGGTTAAATATAAACCTTATCAATGTTTTTATAGTCGTCAATAACTAATATACCAATCGATAAAACAAATTTAACAAATTTTCAACGTATTTTTCGTAATGAAAAAGATTTAAGACTAACAGCGAATGGAATTGGACATAGAAATACTCAAACATCATCATCTGTTTTTGAAGTTATTCATTCATTAGGAACAGGTGATACAATAAATACAATTGAAATAAATCAACAACAAACTGTCAATGGTAATGGATATATTTCATCTGAACAACACACACCTTCATCAAAAACAATTATTTATAATCCACTTTTATTAAGTATACCGAGTTGTGATGAAACAATGGGAAATGGAACTTGTAATGGAAATTATCATAATTTAACTAATTTGAAGGATGCTGGATTTAATTCAAGCATGCATATTGATAGAATGTTTGACGATGCACAAGATCAAGTAAATATATTTATTAAAATTTATTAAAATTAATTTATAGAAAATCAAAAAATGAAGCAATTGGTTAGAGATTTACGAGTTCTTCCAGGCCCATATTTAGATTATATTTCGAATCTTGTTTGTATTCAGTTTTAAGTCTGAATTGAGAAAACATGACAGCAGACTATCCAAATCCAGCGTTTCGAATATGGTTTAATCAGAGCTGAACAAGTACAGTTATGATTTTTGTTCTATTCGTATTTGAGAAAACTCGTTATTGGTCAGATCTAAGTTTAACTTTAGATTGACTGTTTTTTGAGAGTAAGCAACTACTAGCTAAAATGTTGATCCTTTCTCTGGTCATTCATATAGATAGTGCCGCGAAATACCCAGCTGAGTCTGAGTTAGGATCTGTCAGATCCGAAAGAACAAGAACATGGTCCCAGAACTTCCCGTTGCGATGAGACTATAATAGTTTGTACTCATTCAAGGTATAGGAGATTGGTGAACAGTGGATGCTCGCACTGAAAATTATGTTAAGTATGTTAGCTGATAGATTAATTGTTACATTTATATGTATAATTGTTGAAGAAATTGATCTCTTCATCGACAGATATTTTCTGTAGATGTAGAGGAATGTTTTGTTGATTAAAAGTACTCAATTGGATTACTATAAATAACTTTGAAAAGAATAGTCTTCAATATTCAACACAACATACGATACTTTACAAAAGTAATCGAAATATCAACTTTTCTTTCACATTCAATATATCGACTAAAAACTTACGAAATGTTCTAAGATTAATAGGATCTATATTTCACAACACTTTAGGTTAAACATCCCATAAAATCCCTTTTTTCGTTCATATCTTGCTCTAGATTTGAAGAAACAAAGGTCTATATACACAAATCCTTTTCAATTTGACATAGTTTCGTCAAAATTTGAATCTGTAAGAAAGCAAATGTGACAATTTTACTGAGAAGGAAAACACCTGAAACAACTTATCACAATTGAACTTATATTTTGGACATTTAGAAACAATCAAAAGACTAAACTAATCCCAAAAGAAATCAAGTCCAAAGGTTTATTTTTTATTTGAAATTTCGTCCATAGGTAAATGACATGATCCTAGAAACATTCTAAATTCTTCCATTTTGAAATGTTCAATGTTCAAAAAACTTTCACTATTATCTGTCTGTTGTCTAAAATCGAATCGGTTTTTGAATACTAAAGATCTTTTAAAATGCAAGCTTTTAGAATAATCCTAGAATCATGCAACCTATTTACAGACGAAATTTCACATATAAATATTTTGTTCAATGTTTCTATCAATAGCTCATCGTATAGTAAATATGTAACAAAGTTGTTCTAACCCTGAGCAAAAGATCTCTGCGTCATAAATATTCTTTGTTTCGATACGCTCTCTAAATTCTTAAAATGCAAGCTCAAAAGTGATTCATGACTTCAAGTAATTTGTTCTTGAGTTTATTTTGAAATAATTTTGAATTTTTTTCAATTTTTAATTTCTGCATATTCATGATTTGTTTTTATTTCTCTGTTTAGACAAAAGAAGATGAACATGAACAAGAAAAAGAACATTTTATTGATGAAATTCGTCATGTAAATAGTACGTCAAATATATTGAATCAAACAACGGCACTATATAATCTTTCACATGCTCGTTCAGATACAAATCTTCTAATAAATCATTCATCTCTTTTTCAAAGCGATATCTACGATAACAATTGCGTTGATACTATAAAATCAATCAATCAAACAAAATGAATCCATTCAATGTTTACTGCAATTAATTATCAACCATTATCATCATTTGCTTTAAGTCAGATCATTTATTCTCGCATGTATAAAAACTAATATTCCAATAATTAATTCATACATGAATATTATATGATATAAATATATATACTTCTATTCTTCCATTCATTCAATGCCAAAAACAGAAATCTTAAAGTCTTTTTTTTCTATACAAATAATCTTTTAATAAAATCTATGAATCGTATGCAAACATACGTTCTCTTATTCTGTATGTATGAATCTTTTTTTTTTTTGTCTTTTATAAAATAAAACAAATAAAATTCAAATTACAAGAAGTTATATTCTACTTATTTGTTCATTAAAAAAGAAAAATAAATCAGATCGATAAACCAAAAACGGAGACAATAGCATACATTGTTTTGTTTTCCCAACTAAATAAAAAATAAATGAATATTTCCGTTGTTTTTTTTTTTTTTATTAAATTTTTCAAATTCTTACCGAACAGTACACGATCCATCTGTTGTATTATCCCAAAAGCATGAACTTGCTGTATGTAAACCAGCACCATTTTTTTGCATAATTACACATGATACAATATATTTAAAGGGTTTATTTAATTTTGTTAATGAATTAAGTATACTTTCGACTATATTTGATGTCCATGTGTTAATTTTTGTCTGTTGATATGATTGAGATCCAATTGTGGCTTCAATTGATTCTTTTATTATATTTGATACTTCATCAACAACAAAACTTGTTTCATTTGTATCATCCATTGCTTAATTAGAGAAAAATCTGAAGAAAAATGTAAATCGAGCGTTTCTTTTCAGGAGTCTCTATCAAGAAAAATACGTAAAAAATACGTGTATACACAAGTATAAATAAGCTTTTTTTTTTTCATCGTCATCACGCGCTTACCACAAATAAGTATGTGTCGAGAAGGAGAAAAATGCGCGTACGCGGGTGTATGTGTATGTGTGTCTAGAACAAAATTTGAATGTGTGCATTTGTAAGACGCCGTTAATGACTGCGGCTGTTGTTTGAAGAAGAACAGACAGAAAAAGAGAGAAGAACAACACGAACATGATTGTCGCTGTAACTCTAACGAGGTTCACTCATTTTTTTTCAAAATATTTTCTACTCGTTAGTATATTCATGTCGATCAATGGTTGGTTACGAACAAAGAAAAATCGATTTGACGTGTAACATCGATCTAATTGATCATTGTTTACTTTAGAAGTGACTAAAAGAATAGAAAAGAAAAAGTTAAGAATTAAATTATTCTGACGATGAAAAGAGCCAGTAGGAGTAAACGCAAAAAACAACAAAAAAATATTATTCGTTTGTTTCTTTGCTTCTCTTTTTTATGTGTTCTGTTGTTAATAATATGTAAAGGATAGTAACAGATGTCGAGCTTGGCCTTTTACGAAAAGAAACTTTTAATATTTCTTCTTTTTTTCGCTCATTAAAATAAAAAGAAAAATCATTTTTAATCTTACATGAAGGAAAAAGTGATAATCGACAGATTACGAAGAAGATTATCGTAAGTCGTCCAGTCAGTTCGTAACAGGTAGACACAAAAAATCTGAACATTATAAGTCTTTATAAGTGGATCATTTTTAATCGTCTGAAAATGATTTTTTTTCCTCCATTCACATGAGTATTATTCTTGTGACTTGTACAACTCTATAGAATTACGTTATTGAACAAACAAAGCCATTATTCAAACATTTAAGCGAGGACAATGCCGTTTATATTTACATTGAAACAATGACGTCGGACATTTCTCCCCATATAACATGTAAGACTTAAATGAACTTTTGACATTTATTATCAAATAGTATCAATAATTTTGTTTGACGTAGATGTAGAAACATTTACATAAATTCTTTCGCTGGACGGATGTTAGTTTTATTGGGCACTATATCAATATCAATATGTGAAAATAAAATGTACAATAATCAATTGAGATTGAATAACGAATTTTTTAAAATTACATGATTACGTTCTTTTCAATAATAACACTAGACATATAATTTAAGGTAGAATGAATATTCAAGAGCTTCTATTGCTGATTAACAATGTGAACAGAAAAGTTGATTAAATTTTTTACTTATATTAAAGTACAAATAAATTTGTTCAATTTAATAATAAATCATTGAATGTTTTCTCTTCTGTTTATCACCATAATTTTGACGCGCATTGTATTGTTCATTTCTGTTTTTTTCAAGCATTTTCAAAAATATGAAGTTAATATCATCAGACATTATTGCTTTTGATCGAATTCAAATTATGTCATGGGAATCATTTGTAACTAAATATGTTCATGAAAAATCAAGTTACCAAGGCCTTGATTCTTCTTCAACAAACATAACTTCTCAATCTATGTCCATACCATTCTTTTATGATTCATGTCAAGCAACAGCATCTAATCTTGCTTTTTATTTCAATCCCCAACGGCGTCATGATATTAGTTTAAATTATTGTTTGTCATATATAGATGATAAATAAAAGACTTTCTTAAATATTAAAATCTAAATGAACTATATATTGAAAATAGATTTATTCAAATAAATTATACTAATTATGTTAATTGAAATTTATTCTAATGAAAAGAACCTGGAAAGCAAGTTGTGTGTTCATTAGATATCATTAATGTCACTTTGCACTTAAATCACGAATGATAGAAGTTTCATCTTTACTATAAATAGAAGGTTGAGAAGACGGCTTGTCCAGCTAAAATGGACCCAGCTTGGCCAAAGTTGAACAGAGAAATTCTTGAACATAATGACAACCGAGCTCATTCATTCAAAAATTTTTTATAGGTTTTCGTATATGCCCTATCAATAGATGTCATCTGTTTTGAAAAAAAATGAGAATAAATGGCAGTGGCCAGCCAAAATCAAGCATTTTTTGTGCCAAAAACGGTAAAAACGGGGTCTTATTCCCACAATCATATTTCAAGCACTACTGTATCATTTGAAAAAGTGGAAATCATAGTAGTATTATCGAAGACTGATTTACTGTTTGACATCGATAGATCACCTTCTATTGCTATTAAACCTCTAAAAAAATGTGCTTTAATATGTAGCCAAAAAAAAATCGATGAGTGCGTTACCAAGTGCTGAGTGCGTTACCGTGATGTTTTCCTGATTAATGTTTGTAGGCACAAACTTCCAAAAAATAAGTTTCATTATTATAAAGTCTGTTGTCTTAGCTTTATACATAAATAAAAATATTTTCTTTCGAAGCGAGAAAATTTCTGAAAATATAAATTTTTCTGAGTCACTGTCATGGGAGGGTCCTTTTGAATGAGTGCGTTACCGCACCTTTCGATCCTTCTAGAATCGTTACCATTTGACTTAATGAAATAATAATTTTAGTGCAACGAGAATTTTCATATATCTGGCTACAGTATAAATTTCAGCTCTTTGTCAAGCAGAGTTTAGTGAGTTATAACAATCGGAAGGTCAAAAATGGGTGAGTGCGTTACCTGTGGACAGGCCGAAGAGTTTTTCATCTCGTCTTGTATTATTGTCATTTTCATCATAATCAAGACATATACGATACTTATTATAATAGCATATTCTCATGAGATTTTAAAATCGATGAACACACATTAATAGATATGCTAGATAGGTTTAGTCTGACATAGGCATGCAGAGTTTTAGACAATAGACTCATTTGTAAAAGGTAGTATAAAAGGTTGCGTTTTTTGACTCCTTACTTTGTTCGAACATGTCCAGTTTTGACTAACTTCGCCGCTCCGATAGACATTCAATTTGGAAATTGTTTTTTTGGAAAGAAGCTCTTTGTTCTATTATATTGATTCTTTTATATTAAATTCCAATAGATTCTTTTCCGATATTGTTAGAATTCTTTTTATTAAATCTTGAAGCTTTATGAATATCATCGAATCCGAGAGTTGTTCTTATGGCATCAGACGAGATTCGACTATGAGGTCCCTCTTTCTGAATACATGTCACAGACAAATTAAAACTTAGATAAAATTCGTCTATGATGAAGTGCAAAGCAACGAAACAATTTTCTTTTGTATTAAGAAAAGATCGAGCGTACTTATGGTTTTTCAGTCGACACAACATTCATATACATTTATTCACACTGTTAAGCATGTTCTAATGACTTATTCTACACTGAGACAGTAACATGGTTTTCGAAAATATCCAAGTTATTAAAAGTTTGAAAGTATTATGTTTCAAGAAATGGCAGCGATTAGGATAAGGAATGCTTAACGTAAAACATTCTTCAGTTTTTTTGGGTTGGCAAATAACTGAACAAAACTTAATAGCATCATGTATTTATATTTTATGCATCGTTTGTGACTCATATAAAATTTCGAGACGAATAAACATTAAAAAGTACTGATCAGAAAGGATACACTTCAAGATGCTTTCTTTTTGTTTGTAGTCAGAGCTTGCTAAGACTAACTAAATGTCAATTGAGGACACTGGAAAATTCTATAACTGTTTATATTCAACTCGACTTGAATTAAAGGTAAACAGAACTTAAGATAGATATAAAAGATCAGTTCTTTATTGTCGTCTTTTTCCACTGTTTTAATTTTTAAATCGTTGAAAAGCTCTGTTTACATTATGTCTGATGTATTTGTGTAATTCTGTACTTATATTTACTATGAAACGAATACTTACATTGTTATTCAGTGAAAACCATTTATATGAATTGTGTATTGAATCAAAGAATGATTGAGCTTTAAAAAATTCTGAGTTGCGACAACAAACATGAAGATTCACAAAAGAACAAACTGGCTTTGTATATCCTTATTTGTGATTAATCATATTGACAAAATCTATCTAATAATATAAAAGTTTGTAATAAAAAGTTGTAGAATATTGACTCATCAGAATCTGTTTTGTTTTCCTTAAAAGATGGGATATTATTATTCATAAGAAAGAAAGAGTACATGTGTTTCCTATTTATTCCTAAATCAATAGACATGTTGATTGACACTTTTGGTCTTTAGTTTTTGAGTCGTCCCTGCGATTTTTCATAGATATAATGCAATTAATGTAATAGTGCGAGCAAATTTATCATCGTTACATTTCTGAATAGAGGTGAATGTCAATCTGCTGAACAAACGTTACTATTGCTGTCGATCTATGCATTGACTTAGGTTGATATTGTTGACATCGTCATACAAGAAGTTGAAGGCTATTTTAAAATTATGAATCGTTGTAGTCACAATAGAATTGATCTTCCAAAAGTTCCTTTTGATCATTATTTTCCAATCTCATGAGTTTTATTACCTTTGAGAAAACTGATCATATCACTTTCCTAGCCATGTATATTCCTTATGGAAGAAATCTGTCACAGAACCTATGACATAGTTACCCAATGTATTTATACTTGATAAAGACCGTAGAACAGATAATAAATCCTTACTTGAAGTTCATAAACATGTCTTTTAACGCGTTTCGATTTATTCACATGAAAAGTTAGAATAAAGTTTTTTCACAATTAAATAATGTTGATTAATAAATTTCAACATCAAATGCTATTGATATTGTTCTGACCGATGTTTTTAATCGATTGTTTTTAATCTAGCTTTTTAAAACAGGAGATAAATGTTAGGCCTCAAAAAATGGTCAGATTTTTGTCATTTTCGGGAAACGTATTTTTTTCCTATAGAAAGTTGAAGGACCTAAGGAATAAATTGTGCAGATTCGGAAAATAAAGCTCTCAGTTCTGTCGTTCTATAACAAAAGTTTTGTTCTAACAATGTTTGAATCGAAAAAAGAATGAAGTTTTTCTCAATCAATCGATTTTTCGAAAAGATGCGTTCAGTATAGCGAATACGCAAACTTTATCACAGCTCTAAACTTCATGAAACTATCTCAAAATATTTTTTTCAGTTGACACGTGTGCTCAGTTAGTATAAAGATGTGCAAATGCTTCTAGCATAAGTAAACGGCTTTATAAAAACAGTCGGTTTTCCAGTTATTTTCTGTTTCTTTTTTTGCTCAGAAGTACTTGGAGATACAAATGATCAAATATTCGAAATCAGCGTACGAAATACACTGAGTGTTGTGTCTTTCAGCAGCTTTTACACGAGATCAATTTTCAACGTAACCCAGCCATACGTAAAAACCCTACTTATCACTGTTCTTTTTTGCAATGATATTAATCTATGGGTCTGCAAAGACCATAAACTAGATTGATGATGTTCAGTTGTGATTGTGGTACGGTCATCGACAAGGGTGAACTAAAACTTTGAGAACAGACCCATGGTCTCACGACAAACTTCTGCTGAGATTTCCAAAAGTCATCGTGAAAACGATTCATCTTATTAAAAACCAGTATTTTCTCTTTAACCGACATTTTTTATGAGATGACAATATCTCAATTAGGTTTATGTGATTTCTAAAAACATTTGGACTAGACATAGCTACGACATTGAACTTACGAATGAGAGATTGAACGAATATATTTGTAGCAACATTGTTGAGAAAAGGTGATCACAAGAGAAAGATGACATGTGCATCATAATTTCAGTACATGTGAACTGATGCTCAGGATCAAAGTTTATTGTCGCACAGATGTATCTAAAATACAAGCTCAATATCATAAAGAATATTAACACTTCATAAGAGGCGACTACTTTAGTTCAAGAATTTGCTTGAACTTTGATTTGAATAAAGTTAATGTGTTAAATTATGTTACTGTAGCTTCGATCCTTAACTTTGAAAATCTTAGATGAACTGTTACGACGTATTGTTATTTTTGAAAAGTAGGTTTCTGTAAAGTCACAAATTCTGGGTTACTCGCTAATTAGTAACAGTCGTATTAGTAGTTACTTGGTAGTGTAACAGTAGTTTTCCTCTCCTTCATATTTTACATATGACTTAGTTATTTTAAATGCAATATCCATGATTTGTTTTTTTCAACTTTCAAATGCGTACTTATTTTATAAATAAAACAGGTGATGATTAGATTCAGTTGATTTCAAATACCTAAAATGATGGCAACCAGTTCATTGAGTGGAAATGGAGCTGTCACACGATGATTTTAAAAAATGCACCCTGCCAAGTACTTCAGCTTCGCATGGTTTTTTAAAAAACATAACTAATCGGCTACAATGAAGCTCCTTCGATAATTCTAGAACGCCTCATCAGAAAAGTATAAACAGACAAAAAACTAAAAAGCTTTTCCGTTTTTTTTCTGAAAAAAAGCATAATTCCAAGCAGAAAGTAACGAAAGTCATAAAAAATATTGAGAAAAACTTAAGTGGAAAATAAGAAGTCACGTCATTTATCTAAGATCAGATCTCTGACTATGTTCTCATGCATTTCGATTTTGAAACGTAATTGCTTTTGTTTTAAAAGAGAGAACTGAATTTCATAATTGATTAATTTTTGGTTTCGAGTCTTAATAAAGAAGAAATGTCGTCAACTTACCAAAAACATTTCGACTATATTTGAATTCTTGATTTGGTCATGTACAAAGAAAGTGACAAATATCGGTGACAAGAAAACTCAGATTTAGATTCCACTGTATCCAAATCTGAAATTGTTTAATCTGAATCAATAAAAATATAGAGTCACACTTTCCTAATGAGAATGAGTGAAATATAGAAAGGTAGATCCTTCACGGAATAGAAGATTCCAATTCATCTATTTCATTTCACTTTTCAGTAGCTTATCTAAGGATCAGAAAGCCTTAGATATGTTTTTTACCGAATAAAAAGCACAAAATTTAGTTTAATCACAAACGTCAATACACTTTTATCTCGCAATAATACATATTCATAATGTTTTGACAGAATACTCGATGTATATTTTTGACAGAAAGCAAATCAACATGCTCTCAATAGTTTTATTTTAATTTAATAACAATTCTATTACAAGCTTTCAAATTATTTTCATTCACAACGAAGTATACGTGATTGATATACATGGAGAAACCATCGTATACGATCGTGCTTCTACGTATTGTATAAGGATTTTTTCTACTTCGTTTTGAGATCAAATAAAACGGGTTCATTAAATGTTTACTGGAATGAAGTATTCATCATCATAATCATTCGCTTTAAGTCAGATCATCTATTCTTGCATGTATAAAAACTAATATTCCAATAATTAATTCATACATGAGTATTATACGATATTAATATACATATAGTTATATAGTTTCATTTATTCAATTCCAAAAACAAAAATACGAAATTCTTTCTTTTGTACAAATAATCTTTTAATAAAATCTATGAATCGTATGCAAAATACGTTCTCTTATTCTGTATGTATTAATGTTGTTTTTTTTTTTTTGTCTTTTATAAAATAAAACAAATAAAATTCAAATTACAAGAAGTTATTTTCGATTTGATTGTTCATTCAAAAAGAAATAAAAGAAGACAAAGAAATTAGTTTGCTAAAGCAAAAACCGATACAGAAGCAAACATTGTTGGATTTTCCCAACTAAATAAAAATATAGATAAATAAAAATTCATTCTTTATTTTGTATTTTTTTTTTCAAATTCTTACCGAAAAGTGCATGATCTATCAGTTGTATCATCCCAAAGACATGAACTTGCTGTATGTAAACCAGCACCCTTTTTTTCCACAATTACACAAAATACAATATATTTAAATGGTTTATTCAATCTTGCTAATGAATTAAGTGTATTTTCAACTATATGTGATGACCATGTATTAACTTTTGTATTTTGATACGATTGAGATCCGAGAATTGCTATAATTGAATTTTGTATTATATTTGATACTTCATGATCAATGAAACTGGTTTTATATGTACCATCCATTGTTTAATCAGAAAAAAAATCTGAAAAAAACATGACACAAAAATTTCTTTCTCATCAGCTCGTACAAGAAAAAAAAACCAGGTGAAAATATGTATATACACAAGTATAAATAGGGTTGTTTTTCATCGTCATCACGCGCTTACCACAAACAAGTGTGTATCGAGAAGGAAAAAAATGTGTATGTCGGTGTATGCGTATGTGTGCCAAGAATAAAATTTTTATGTATGCATTTGAAAGACGCCAATAGTGGCTGCGACCATTGTTTGAAAAAGAACAGACAGAAAAGAGGGGAGAAAAACACAAAGATGGTGGTCGTAGAATACTTTGACGGTGTTCACTTATTCTTTTTCAAAATATTTTCTACGCAATAAAATGGTTGGTAGAGAATAAAGAAAAATCAGTTTGGCAAATAACATCAATGGAGTTCGTTATTCTTTGATTCAAAAAGAACTAAAAATATAGGGAAGAAAATGTTAAGAATGAAATTATTTTGACGATGAAACGAGTTAGTAGGAGTAAAAGCGAAAACAACAAAAAAAATATTATTCGTTTGCTTCATTGCTTCTCTTTTTTTATGTCTTCTCTTGTTAACGAAACGTAAATGAAAATAATAAATATCGAGTCTAACCTTCGGCAAAAAGAAGCTTTTAGTATTTCGTTTGTTTTTTATCGCTAAAGTAAAAAGAAAATTATATTGATCCTTGTATAAAATAAAAAGTGATAATCGACAAGTTACGAAGAAGATTATCATAAGTCGTCACCTTGATTGCAGGAAGAGATAGAGAAAATAAAATTGTATGTCTGTATCATTGAATCATTTTTAATCGTCTGAAAATAATCTTTTTTCCCATTTCATATGAGTATTACTCTTGTGACTTCTACAACTCTATAGTATTTACGTTATTGAACAAACAAAACTTTAAACAAAGCCATTATTCAAGCATTTAATCTACTCATTAATAAGGACACTGTCATTCTCTATTTAGATTGAAAGAATCACATCACGTGTTGCACCCTTATAAAATGCAAAACATAAATGAACTTTTGACATTGATTATCAAATAATGTATGTTTCAGAATAAATTTCACTAAATCTTGATGTTTTCTCCTCTCATTTCTTAAGCATAAAAACTTTATACGGTAAAAAATAGAAAATTTCAAAATGTACAAAATTGTGAGCTTTCTTCTTTCACCAAGTTAAAGCCTGGCAGCACTAAATTGAAAAGATTCTCATCTATTCAGCCATGCACCTGCGGCTTCCTATTCTCTGCAAAAGTTCGCTCGTCGACGTCGATGTCAAAAGTAAATTAATTAATAGTAACAGATAGACAGTTTTGCCCTCTATGCCACTAGCACGGTTTCAAAACTCTCGAGACTGGCATCTACGAGAAAAAGTCTTGAAGCTGACAACGGTCAGTATTTTTCAGTACACGTTGGAAAATCATATTTTCAAAAGTCAAACTTGCTTTATGAACGATTTTGTTATCTTGTTATTGAATGTAGAACTCAGTTCTTCACAAAACTGTGTAAATATTGAATTGCACCGTGAAAATATTTAGGTTGTCTTTTTTAAATGAGCAAACAATGACAGTAGAGTTCTACTAGAAGAAGGATTTTTCTGATGCTTTCACCCTTTTACTTCGACACTGTTGCAGCCAAATATTTATTTTAACATTCTGAAACATTTATTTATACATGCAGAATTCTGAGGAGCATTCTGTGAGACAGTAGAAATTTCTCTGGAATTTTTATTAAAAAAGAATTTTCAGTACTGCTCCTTCAAGGGTCAAAGTGTCGAACTCACAAATTTGGGCTGTTATAAATTTATGGTATATTGTCAGAAAAGTTTAAATAGTTTATTCACAAAGATGTCAGATGAATGAATAAATCAGAATAATAACAAGTTTTATAGTTGATGAGTATGCTCTGAAATTTTATTATGTCGACAATATTTGAATTTATTTGAAATTTCTATTCTACTAGTTTATTAGATTCATGTGTCATCGTTATACTCTAACCATTTGTTTACATTGTTAGATATATCTTCAATACTTAACTTGTTTTCTCCTAATGATAAAATATACGATACATGCCACAGAAGGCAACCAATATCATTTTATTCTTCGTTTCGTCGGTTCAATCAACATATTAGCCTAATATACACATTAATTTAATCATTCAGTAAACTTATGAGTGCATCATCATCTCTCTCAACGAACTTTGACATATACTGTTGAATTTCGTCTAAACTTTGACCAGCTACAATAAAACCCTTTTGTGAGATTAAACATCAAATCTCGTCATACTTAGACTCTCTAGAATCTACATTTGAAACCTTAGACCTATAGAAAACTTTGGAAGACTCTAAAAACTTCTAGAATGATCCAAGCACTGGAATTATTGACATGCATTTGCCTGTCGCCAGGAAACCGAATCCAATTATCTTAGATCGCCTCCCCAGTTGCTAGGATCGAGGAGAATCCGGGGAGAGCCGAGGACACAACCACAAAACTTTCAATTTAAACATTGACTCACTATATTTTCGAGAAAAATATAGGTGAGTTTCACTAGTTTTCACCAATTTTATTTGTTTTCCTGATCATCGCAGTTGGATGGTTAGGCAGGCATTTTTCTTCCACATATTGCAACGACAAGAAAAGTTGTTTGAAAACAATATTAACACTTTTGTAGAGCTTGAGATTCTCCATGTTTGAAAATAATATGAAATTTTCAACCTTTAAGAAACGAGAGAAAAATGCACTGAGATTTAATGAAACTTTTCCTGAAACACTTCTTAGTATCAATAATGTTGTTTTGAAGTAGATGTATAAACATTTACATAAATTCTTTCGCTGGACGGACGTTAGTTTTATTGGACACTATATCAATATCAGTATGTAGAAATAAAATATCAGATAATCGATTGACACTGAATAATAAATATCTTAAGAATTAGGCAATGGCTGTTTTCTCAATATCAACACTAGATATATAATTTGGGGTAAAATGTTCATTCAAAAGTATCTATTTACGATTAAAATTGTGAACAAAAGAGTTCATTATAATTACTAGTTTCATTCCAGTACAAAAAGAGTTTCTTCAATTCAGCTATGAATCTTTAAATGTTTTCATCTTTGTCTATCGTAAAAATTTTAACGCGCATTTTATTGTTTATTTCTGTTTTTTTTCAAGTATTTTCAAAAATATGAAGTTAATATCATCAGACATTATTGCTTTTGATCGAATTCAAATTATGTCATGGGAATCATTTGTAACTAAATATGTTCATGAAAAATCAAGTTACCAAGGCCTTGATTCTTCTTCGACAAACATAACTTCTCAATCTATGTCCATACCATTCTTTTATGATCCATGTCAAGCAACAGCATCTAATCTTGCTTTTTATCTTAATCCCCAACGGCGTCCTGATATTATTTTAAATCATTGTCTGTCATATATAGATGATAAATAAAAGACTATTTGTTAAATATTAAAATCTAAATGAACTATATATTGAAAATAGATTTATTCAAATAAATTATACTAATTATATAAATTGAAATTTATTCTAATGAAAAGAACCTGGAAAGCAAGTTGTGTGTTCATTAGATATGATTAATGTCACTTTGCACTTAAATCACGAATAATAGAAGTTTTATCTTTACTATAAATAGAAGATTGAGAAGAGTTTTTCATCTCGTCTTGTATTATTGTCATTGTTGTTGTCATTTTCATCATAATCAAGACACATACGATACTCCTTATAATCGCATATTCTCGTGAGACTTTAAAATCGATCAACAAAGAAAGAAAAGAGATAGTGATTAACAGACACGCTAAATAGGTTCATTTAGAAATTAGCGTGCAGAGTATTAGACGATCATATTAGGAATTAATTGAAACATTCTTAAATACAATGACAACATTAAGTAATGGAAATCAACAAGCACGGATTGAACTTAAAATTCAAGAAGGTATGTATCACTTAAGAAGCTCTTTTTTTCTTTTGACAATCTAATTCAATAAAAAAAAAACCCTTGAATATATTTGTATCTATATTTATACAAGACAATGAATATATGTCTGAAGATATAGAAACAAGAAAGTCGACAATTATGATAGATACTAAAAATAATAATACTCAAAACGCAAGTACTACAGAACGATTGATTGTTGCCAAAAACCTGGCAGTATCACCAATACTTCCACCATCGTCTACAATTCCACGAGATCTATGGACAAATAAAGTTGAATTTCTTTTATCGGTTATTGGTTATGTAGTTGATCTTGGTAAGAGCAAATAGAATAATGGAAAAAAAATTGAACATAATCATTTATTATTTGATTGATAGGTAATGTTTGGCGATTTCCATACACATGTTATGAAAATGGTGGTGGTGCATTTCTTATTCCATATATGATCTTTTTATGTGTCCTTGGAATTCCAATGCTGTAAGTTTAAATATTTTTCGAACTATTCAATAGAAAATGAAAAATTCTTAATATTAATATTGCTACTCAACTTCAATATCTCTTTTAATTCAATTATCATAATATATAAATATATTTTTTCTTTTATTATTTCTATAGTTATCTCGAATTATTTCTTGGTCAATTTTATCATTGTGGTAATATAACATTATGGGGTCGAATAGCTCCATCAATGAAAGGTATTGGTATAGCATCATTCTTAATTGTTACTGCTGTTACATTATTCTATACAACTATCATCGGTATGAATTTACATTTATACATATATATATATTTATTATTTAAATAATTAATTTTCTTTTTGTTTTAGCACATGCTGTTTTTTATTTATTTGCATCCTTTCGTGAAATAATGCCATGGAGTTTATGTACACATTCATGGAATACACCACTTTGTTCAGAACGTCTACGTAAGGAACCTTTAAATAATCAAACTATTCAAGAAATTGGTTTTAATCAAACATTATCATATATCAATCAATCAAAAATTTCATCAGCTGAAGAATATTATAATATATATATGTTAGGTATAAATCGTTCAAGAGGTTTAACTGATTTAGGTTATATTAAAATTGATTTACTTTTTTGTCTTGTATCAATATTTATTCTTATGTATTTATGTATTTATCGTGGAGTTAAAAGTACAGGTAATAAAGATTAAAAAAGGAAAGAAAACTTATTTGAAATATTTTTTTTTTGTAATAATTCTTAGGCAAAGCTGTTTATATAACTGCTATATTACCTTATATTGTTTTAATAATATTGCTTATTCAAGGTTTTACTTTAAAAGGTTCACAAAATGGTATAGCATATTTTGTAAAACCAACATTTGAAAAATTAAAAAATCCAAAAGTTTGGTATTCAGCAGCTAATCAAATATTTTTTACACTTGGTTCTGGTTTATCTGTTTTAACAACATATGGTTCCTATAATATATCAACAAATAATTGTTATTATGATGCATTAATTGCTGTTATAGCAAATTTTGCAGCAAGTTTTCTAGCTGGTTTTGTTGTATTTTCTGCTTTAGGACATATGTCATGGCGACTGAATAAAGATGTTAAAACTGTTGTTGAATCAGGATCAAGTTTATCATTTATAGCTTATCCAGAAATCTTAGCAACATTTAAATATCCAGCATTTTTTTCAATATTATTTTTCTTAATGGTTATTAATTTAGGACTTGATAGTGATTTCGGTGGTTTAGAAGCTATGTATACAGCATTAAGTGATGAGTATTTCTTATTAAAACGTCATAGAAAATTTGGAATGTTTATAATGTGTTGTATACTTATTATTGCTTGTTTACCAACAGTTACACATGGTAAATAATATAAACATATATATATATATATACAAATAAAAATCTATTTACATTTAATTATTTTTCTTTCATTAGGTGGAAATTACGTTGTACAATATTTGGATAAATTTTCAACAGGTCCAGCATTAATGCTTGTTGTTATGATGGAAGCAATTGCCGTGAGTTGGGTAAGAAATATTTCTTTTTTTTTTTTTTATGAAAGATCTCTTCGATGAACAAATTCTTTTATTAAGGTATATGGGATTAATAATATTGTCTATGATATTCAATTGCATCTTGGTTTTGAACCAAATTATTTCTTTCGTTTTACTTGGAAAATTTTATGTCCACTTATTGTCACATTATTAATGATATTTTCATTAATTTCTTCAGATAAATTAACATATGGAAATTATTTATATCCTTCATGGTCAATTATATTTGGTTGGTGTTTTAATATGGCATTAATATTGCCAATACCAATCGTTATTATTTATGTATTTATACGTTATTTTGATTCTGAAAAATCCTTGAAAGAACAAATTTATTCCTTGTTTGTACCAACTATAACAAAGCAAAGATTAAAACGGCAACTTGAAAAGAGACATACATGTATTGTATAATGATTATCACCTATTTCACGTGTTTAAATGTTGTCTGTTCGTACAAATATACGTATATATAAGTACATATATCTTTGAAATAAATATAAACATATTAATCATTTTATTTTACTTTGGTTTATACAATGAAAAGGAAATCAATATTTTTATACAATATTAGTGTAAAGACTGTGTTGATCGAAGCAATGGAAGTTTCCGTTGAATGTTTGAATTTGATAAAGGCGTTAGTAATGCTGATGATCGCATAGGAGTATTTTTTTTGTTTTGTTTATCTTCAATTTTTTGTCTTTGAGAAATAAATGGTCGATAAGAAAAAAGACTGAGAATAACATCTCGAAAATCACTTGATGCTAACCAATAAATAATAAATGATGAAACGTGACTTGTTGTTGCTAAATTACTTAATCCCATTGTAATTAAATTTCGATGAATTTTTACTTTTTTGCCAAAAAAAATATAAAATATAGCGGCAGGTGAAGTAAATACAATGAAAAATATTGATATGAATATTAATGTTTTTGTTAAACGATTACCATGATTTGGTATTGAACTTCGATTTGTAGAAAATATTTTTGATGATTGTGGTATCAAAGCATTCGAACTTTTTCTCGAGTTTTTTGTACGACGTCGAGATGCATGAACATGACGAATGATATATATATTACATAAAATCATTAATGTAAATGGAATAAAATTATATAATAATAAATGAACTATTTCCCAAAATTGAAAAAATACGGATTGATAACAAGCAACTTTCATTTGTGTCTGATTATATTTATCTATAGAAATAACATATTTTCCATTGATAATCAAAATGGGCGAATTAATAAGACCTATAAGAAAAATAGTTATCCAACTAAGACGATGAATAATATTTGATTTTGATATATATTTTCTTATACTCCAATGATGATGTAATGAAACACAACGTGCAAATGATGCTAATGTTTTAAGCCATGCAGCACATTGAAGTAAAAAATAAGCCCCGTAAGATATAAGTTTACAAACAAATAATGAATGTTGTTCAAGATTTTTAAGTACAATATTCTTTTGCCATTTCCATATAAGTTCTCGTACAACATAATTTAGATTCCATGTAAACGGTATCAGAAGTTCAATAAGAGCTAGATATGAAAAAACAACTATGGTTGGATTTGAACGATTAGGTATATGTCGTTTAAATATATAGAAGCAAAGAAGATTTAATGGTGTACCAATAAGTATAAGAATAAGAGAATAGAGACCAAAAACAAAATATCCATACTGAACAATTGTTGCCATTATATTTATATACTCTAGAGATAAAGAAAAATAAAAAGGAATCGATTCGAATATTCTATAATAAAATAATATTATAATCATTCGTTATTAATAAGAATTTTTCTTTTATTGTATAAGTGTTTAGGCATTCTTGAGGTTTGACAATATCTTGATTAAAGTCCATGAAAAATATTTAACATAACAGACAGTATAAAAAATGTCTGGCATAGCTGGTTGGTTATCACGACTCAAGGAGAAAACAATCGATTTCAACATTTCAGAATTTCTTCATCGACTGCAACATCAAAATTTCTGTTTTTTTTCTGTGTCAAAAATGTTTTCAAGCATGCAGGGGTGCTACAAGATCGCTAAAATTGAGAGGTAGATAAGAGACTGATTAGAAGATTTTTGCTAAAATCGATCGGATTTTGGGCGAGGACAGTCGAACGTTTTCTTCTTTTTGTTTTTGAGAAATGATGAGTATAAAAGCGAATAAAATGCTAGTAGAAAACGACATTGCCTCAAGATTGGGGCGGGAACAGTAAACTTTGCTCGGTACATTCTTGCAAGCATTATTCACTACAAGTTTCTAAAGTATGTAATTATTCTGTTGTTTTCTTGAATTGTTCTTAATTCAATTTTTATCTTGAATAGATGAAAACTTGAACAAATATTTTTCATCAACATTAATATTTGGCTAAAATTGTTTGTAATATAATTGAAATACGAAAGTAAAAAACAGACTTACCAAATATTGACTAACAAAAAACAAACCAAAGTAATATGAGTAAGACGTTTTAAAAAAAACTGATCATTTAAGTTTTCCTCTCTCGCTCTCAACCCAAAAGATCGTTCGTATATATTAAGTAAAAATTATTAACTATTCAATTCTTTCTTTCTTTTTTTCTATTATATATCGATACAATAGTCGATACATCTTACAAAACCGGGCTTGCTTTCTTTTTTTTTTTCTTTTTTTCATTCTTTTTTTTTTCTTTTTTTTCTTCTATGAATAGATATATCGACTACGGACTTGTCATACTTTGACTTTCGTAATTGTCGACTACTTATTGACAGACATCAAAGCTGCGAGAAAATCTACATATGCGCCTAACACCTCAATGTGTTGTGGAAATTACACAGTAAACATGTTAGAACAAAAAAAAACAAAAGAAATAACCGGAATTTATAAGTACTACTCTACATATGTGTTATCAACACAATTAACTTTTGTTCGTGTAATTTATTGCAAAAATAATGATGAAACACACAAAAAGAAAAATGTATACAAAAAGAAGATTGTTCTATATGATCAATTAAAGTGATTAAAGAGAAGAACAGAACTATAATTATTGACATAAGGCAGAAATGAACATATTTTATAGTGAAGATAATATAGTTTACCATAATAATAGGCTAGCCATCAAAGGAAATAATTTGTTTTTGTTGATAAATAATAATAAGTAGTATTTTTCTAATAATATTTCTTTGTAAACTTTTTATATCGGTAGAATCAAGAGACTATGATAATTATTAACCAAGTTAACAAAGACACGCAGGAGTGTCCCGAAAGAGGGAGAGTAATTCCCTACTTATCTTGCAAAGTTTTTGTTCTTTTTCAATGGAACTGAACGGTTTTCTCATCAGTCTTTGTAACATAGATCGAGAACCCTTGCCCGATCTTGATAATCTCGGAACATTCATACTAATGAGTGTACCTAAGTGTTTATTTATAAAATATAAATTTATATTTGAAGTGAAATCTATCTACAGTAAAGTTGTTATTTTTCAAAAGTGATCCATTTAAGTACAATCAATCATTATCATATATTGATCGTAAGTAAACGTTTCCAAAACTTTTTTGATATTATATGAAAACAAAAATAGACGAATTCTTTCTTTTTTTGCATTTTAGATATATTTTGTAAGACCAAAAAGTACTAAATAGAACAAAAAGAAAAAAAAAGATTCAAGAGGTACATGTCAAAAGAAAAGAAATGATTATTGTAACTTTTCTTATCATGGAAAACAAAAAAATAATAAATTCTCATACTTTAAAGAGAAATCTTTTATGACTAAGCAAATCATTTTCTCATTAATAGAAACTAATAATTTCTGATATTATATTGAGAGTGAGTAGAAGAAATGGAGTGGACAACAATATTTCAAGAATCTTTTGGTGTTCACAAATCCACAAAGAAAAACCTAACTTTCTGATCGGCTTTTCAACATGGCATATGCTTCATGAAGTAAGAAAGTCATGATTTTCCTTATTATTATTTTTTTTCTTTTGCTATTTTATTAGACGAATAAGAAAGAAAAATAAGTTATTTATATCAATTACTTGTACACTTTTTCCTTATGCAGAAAGACTCGATGACAACTATCGTTGAAATTCAATACGATTAAAAACGAAAAACTAGAACAATATTATCATGAAAGAAAAAAAAACCCAATTAGGAGCAGAAGACATCATTTTAATGAAATGATCATACAGTTTCTTTAAGAAATGCATTAATGTAGTATTAATCAACATAAAAAGAAATTATTTATGTTTTTCTCATCATATTATCTTTTATCTGTGTAAATATTTCGCTTCTTATAGCACGTTTTATTTATGACTTATATGCTTCGTATGTTCTGCAAATGACATTCTGCATTTCAAAGAACGTCGACGATTCATTTGATCAAAAAACCAGATTTTCTTACATGTCTAATGCGCATGTCACGAGATTGAAAGCAAAAAAAAAATAATAATGAGATCAATCCATCTAGATTAGATGATAGTAAGACAGCAACAGAATATAATTGGGACATGATTATCCTCTTATTCCTATAGAACATGAATACAACAAATGATAATAAAAATATCTAATGTCGTCAAATTTCTCTCGTAAAAAACAGTTTAAATATATGAGAAATATGAAGAGATAAATAAAACGTCAACAACAACATCGGCTCGGAAAAAAAGAAAAAAGACTTCCGATTCGTTATGATTACTTGTCAAAATATGTATTTATCGTTTTCTTTAGAAATAAAATAGGCACAAATCAATCAAATTTCAATCACACACCTACCATAATAAAAATTATAGTGTTAAAAGCAAATTCGAGGTTTTAGATTAAAACAAACAATAACATGTTTATTATTATATATATAGAAGAATTTCATAGTAACGATGATGAAAAGTTTTATCTGGGAAATATAAGGATAAAACAGAATTCCAATCCAATGATCTTACACATGTCATCATCAAAATTTGCAATAATTAAGACAAAACAGACGATAGATATGTTGATTATAGGCCCATGTCTTTCGTCAGAATCTCGTCATCGTGGCTTATCATATACAGTGATACTCTTTCTTTTCTTGAATGTCATTTCGAATAAATAAAAATATATATTATTTAATACATCATCATGTATTAATTATGCTTGAGGATACTTTTTGTCATTTGTTTTTATACAATTCATCATTCAACCACCGAACAATATATATTTTCAAAAATCGTGTGTTCTTCTTGGCTTCTATTAAAAAAAAAAGAATAATTAGTAAATCTAATATTTATTTTTTGTCGACTAATGTTATTTGTAAAAGAAAAAATTTTTTAGAGATTATATACTTTATAGTTATTTATTATCTTTAGTTAACGCTTTTTTCATCGCTTGCATACATTCGTCACTTGTAACTGCTTCAAAATATTCTTTTTTTTCTTGTTCATTATCAATAGAATCTAATTTGATTATATCCGACCACCATTTTCTTTTCGTTATTTGAAAACCTTGTAATGGTCGTTCACATATCATTTTTAACCATTTTCGTGCTAAATCATCTGGTGTTTCACTTCTTTCACATCGAATCGAAAAATCATTTGATGAAAAAAGATTCGCATCAACAAGAAGTCGATAAGCTAATTGAGGTTCAAGTTGGTGCTGAGCAAGTTTAAGTGCTTTTAAAGGATATGGAATACCAACAAGTGGTCCAGTAATACCAATACGAAATGGTTTTCGTGTACCTATTGCAATATAATCACATGCAAGAGCAAGTATAAGACCACCAGCAATAGTATGACCATCAAGTGAACATGCAACTGGTTTTGAACAATGTAGAGGAGCAGAAATACCACGACTAAGTGTATCAAAGACGAATTCATCAATGGCTGATCGTTCGCCAGCAACAGACAAATTATATACTGTTGAAAGATCAGCACCGGCACTGAATGTTGAACTATGGAAAAAAAAATATTTATTATTTGAAAAAATTGATAGCTTATTGAAAAAGATAAATACTTTAAATTAGAACGTAGAAGAACACCTTTGATTTTCTTATCATTTGAAGCTTGATTGAAAGTTTGAATAAGTTCATTGAGTAATTCTGGTGACATAGCATTGGCTTTTGGACGGTTCATTGATATGGTAAGAATGGCATCAGTTAATGAGATACTTAATGTCTTCCAAGTTTGTTGTAAAACTGACATTTTTGATTTCCAATAATAAAATATTATCAATTAATTTATTATTAGAATCTGAAACAGTTTAATTATCAATAATCTCTAAATCTAAAATATTTCTCAACGAATGTTCATGCTAATCCAAGTAAAATATATACACTTGAAAGATTCCCCTGGAGTCTTATTCTACTACTATATAAAATATAATTTGAAGGAATCTTGATAAAAATTAGTCCTCCTCTTCAAGAATGTACTATTATTAGAGAGTGTATTGATTTTTTTATTTCTGAATCTCATTGTTTTTGTTTATGCTTTGTAATTAACTTGCTATTTGCGAAATACTCGTTAACTAGATATTTTTCAAAATGTCTTATTGACTCATTATATTTAATCCTCTCACCAATACCGTATCTCAAAAAACTGTCCAATATGGAAATTTTTATTGATGCTGTAAATTCAAATTAGATTGAATTTATAACTTCGTATCACATCTTGCCATGAGAGCTCGTCGGATCCAAAATTTTTGAATCCAGATCCTAACCGTACTTTAATTACTCTCGATAGAATTATTCAATTTAGACCAATCATCACTTCGAAGATGTGTAGTACTTCTTTTTTGGATCATTCATATACGATAACTAATGCTTGATTGAACAATAATTAGACACAATGCTCATTTAGGTTGTTTCTTCTTTAAGTTGCCTACAGAAATTTCAAAACATCAGGTTAGAATCAGAATTTGATGTTCTTTCCATAGGTGAATTCAAAATTTTTATAGAACTTTTAGTTTAGAAGTTATAAGCCGACATTTGAGAGATCTATAAGCTAAGATTGGATGAACTTTAATGCACCAAAAAGTACCCAAAAGAGAACTATAATTTATTTCAAATAGAGTGAATGAAACTTAGGCAGCCTTCTCAATTTCTCTAAAAAACAGATTTGCAAAGTGAACTCGGACATTCCTGAATGATAATGTCGAAATTTTGGATGTTTGTATCACTTTTCATAGAACAATGCTGCCTTTAATTCGATTTAAAATCGGTATCACAGCGTACGCAATAGAGGAGATTATAGCAACAAAAGAAACAATAATTTTGTTCACCTAAAATTAATTTTCACACCTTTAAAAAAGGTCGACTGGTAACTCTTCAACTCGAAATCCTATGAAAGTTGTTAGCTCATATTAGGAAAGAATGCAACATTTTTATTCTAACCCAAAGTTTCCAAATATCTGCAGGCTCTTTAAAAGGGCTAAAAAATGAATGAAAATTTTGTCCAATTATTCTCTACACATTCTTCAAGAAATCGTGCCAATGATCTCATCTGAGTCAAGTTATTATTCGCTCTTAATTCCAAACTAGCACTTGTTGAAACTTAATCATATATTCTATTTCAATGAGCGGGCGATTTCAGCGGATTAAACACTTTCTCATCAAAAACTACAGGATTCTAGATTATTGACGATGCTAACTTTAAATATAATCATGAGAGATATTCTTAGGTATTCATACGCTACTTTTTTAGACAAGCTGTTGTCCACACTAACAAATATTTTGCTAAATTTGGATTTACTAAGTTCATAGAATATATCGAATTATCTATTAAAAATAATCTTTACTGTTTTTTAAAAATGAGCTGCAAGTAATATGATAACATCTTGAAGATTTTCACGTTGAAACATTGATATGTATCTATTATTTAAAATAAAATAGGCTCAATAAATATGTTTGTTTTCATATTGTATTCTCTTAAAATGTTATAGTTAAAATGACCTGTATTTAATCATTGAATGTCTGTACTTGCAAAAAAATTATTAGATCCTAGATAAAATCTATAAATGAAAAGAAGAGCGAATATGAATCTTTTCTAAATATATTTATTTATTGATACTTGAGGTCTTTTCTGGCAACGGCGATTTGGTCTATTTCTTGTCGTTGTTTTGATTGCTCCTATCAAATAACTAACGAAAATATTCATTGACAGAGGGAGCTTATATAAACATCATAAAGATAAATACCTAGAATATTATTATATTTTAAACTAAAAAATTAATGCTTAAAATTAATGTCAAACAATAAATGAAATCAGCAAATTTGTCTCTAAGAAATTCTTTTTTTGTTCTAAATAGTTTTAGATAGAAAGAAAAAAAAATCAATTTATTTTTTAAGTGTCTGTTTCATAGCTTGTAGACAATCTTCGCCAGTAACTATATCCAAATATTCTTTTTTTTCTTGTTCACTTTCCATAGAAACTAATTTAATTATATTTGACCACCATTTTTTTTTCGTTATTTGAAAACCTTGTAATGGTCGTTCACATATCATTTTTAACCATTTTCGTGATAAATCATCTGGTGTTTCACTTCTTTCACATCGAATTGAAAAATCATTTGATGATACAAGATTTGCATCAAATATTAATCGATGAGCAAGTTGTGGTTCAAGTTGATGTCGTATAATTTCAAGTGGTACTGTAGGAAATGGTACACCAACAGCTAATTCTGTAACACCAATACGAAATGGTTTTCGTGTATCTATTGCAATATAATCACATGCAAGAGCAAGTATAATACCACCAGCAATCGCATGACCATCAAGTGAACAAGCAACTGGTTTTGAACAATGAAGAGGTGCTGTTACACCACGACTAAGTGTATCAAAGACAAATTTATCAATTGTTGGTCGATGACGTTGAGCACATCGTTCATGCATATCAGAAAGATCAAGGCCAGCACAAAATGTCGAGCTAAATAGAAAATCGATTTTTTTTTTTGACAGAATATTTTATCTTGTTGATGAATACCTAAAATTAGAACGCAAATGAACACCTTTGATATGATTATTTTTTGAAGCATGATTAAAAACTTGTTCAAGATCATTAAGTAATCCAATAGACATTGCATTAACTTTAGGTCTATTCATAGATATAGTTAATATAGCATCAGCTAATGAAACAGTTAAATTTTTCCAATTTTGTTGTAAAGCTGCCATTATATGAAATAAATATGTATCTATTTCAGATTTTAGTTTTGACCTATATTATACATTTTCTTTATTTCATTCTTATTGCTTGTATTCATCTACAAACAGGTTAAGTCTTAAACAGATGGAGCACATTGAAATATGATAGTTTAATAATATTTATTTTTTTCCACTGTTATTCGTTTATGCATTTAATAGATAAATGAAAAAATAAACTTGTGTCACTTTTTTTTTTTGTATTTTCGATTTGATACTAGGACAAAAAAAAAGACTTTTTCTTGTACTCTATGTAGATTGAATAAAAGAAAAAAAGACTTTGTTCTTTTCAACCACGCATAGCATGAAATGATTGTGATGCATAACGCTTGCCGTTGTATTGTTTACGTTGATAATCAGGTTGAATTAATAATGATTTAAGTAGAATACGAAAAAGACGAGCTTTTGATGCTAATACTTCTTGCTCAGGAACATTTATATAATGATTTGATGGTAGTTGTAATGGTATATAATATTTTGTTTCCTGACTGTTGTCAAATTCATCCAAATCATTAGATAATGGATCAGCATCAATAAAAGGTGAAGCAAATGACGATGATGAACAATAAGAACATAAGCAGACAAGAATAAAATAGATCAACGCTATTGTATAGAAGCGTTTGACAAATGATGAACCATTGCCAGTTAATAAAATAAATGCCATATCTAAAATGAAACTATTGAGAAATTTTTTTTAATAGTCTTTATTCATAGAAGTTATTTTACTTTTTTAATTTCTCTAATTTATATGAAAAAAGAAAAGAATGTATATTAAACTTAGTTTATTTATGCTTTAGGTGAAACACTTTATTTCTTATATATACATTATATGTTTAAGAAAGCAAGTGCTTTTTTCGCCGAACTTACATATAGAATATATCAAGAGCATATTGAAGATTTTCTTTACTTACAAAGGACATTTAAAATGAAACATGAGAGAGTAGTCGATGGTTCTAATGAACAAAAGATGATCTAATTAAAGATTGAATGTCAATATCGATTTGGTAATTTTACTTAACAATGTTGATGACCTCGGGCATTCTTATATCTCATCATTCATTTAGCCTGATACTTTACTTTAATAAGATAGTACATGCTTTTGTGAAATCAGGTATTGAAATAAGATGAATGAGATAAGAAAGTTTCATTTTTTATTAATTCTTTATTAAAAAGATATGTAAACGTGTGGAAAATATCTTATTATATTTTTACATGTTAGAATTATATTTCTTTTCATTTTCTGTAGCGTATTTTACTTCCTATCTGTTTTTTTTTATAGTTGCGTTCTTATTGTTTGTTAGTTTAATACAAGCAAAAGGTCCTTTCTCTTTTCTAATAATTACTGTTCGTTGAACTGCAAAATGAAAATATTTGACAATAGAAAAGAATAACGTTTTTAACAAAAATTAAATCGTGTTTGCTTATCGTAATTGTTAAATGAAAAGAAAAAAGTCTATAGTACTTTATTGATGCATATAAATAACACTATCAATGCATTTATTTCCGTTCATGGTCAAAGTTCGAGAGAGTAGTCAATAAACACATTACTTATTATGATAGACATATTAATGTTCTATTCGAATACTCTATGAAAACATTCAAATTAGAACACTTTTTTCATGACAAGCCATATCAAATATCAAAGCGAAGCTGAAACGGCAGATGTTTATGCATGTCATATCAAAATATATTCTGCATATGAACTTATCATTTATACTTTCTATTTATTTTACTTACTGAATTGACTGAATATAAACATGTTCGTCTAGTAGAGAACTAGCTATACGAAGAAAATCTGAATCACTTTTTAATTATTAATTACGCACTTTCTTAAATACACAATCAAGTCTTCTATCAATAACAAATTCTCTTTTAGTCCATGCTTTGCCTGGCATCTCTGAAAAAAAAGTTGTCAAAAAGTAATATGAAGAAAATAAGAAAAAAAGAAAATGTTTGATCCAGATAAGGTTGAGAATAAAAATATAATTTTCAACGGTATCATTAATTCTCCTTTATAGCCTAAACCTAGAAAAAGCTTTTAAGAACAAAATATTCTATAACAGCATATTATCATTTTAACAAAAAGTTTATAGTAATAATAGAAATGCTCACTTATATGAGAGAATATTTCAAATAAAAGAAGAATTGAATGAACAAATAGAATTGTATTACATTTAAAATATTCCATCTTTTCTCATTTATAATGTATAACATATCTTCATATAGTTCATTTGTCTATGATAATATAGTCATAACACTTGTCTTTTTCATACACTAACACTAGATGATTGTGTTACTTAATCATCAAAAAGAGAGCGATTTAACAAATACAAGACTTATATTAAGTAAATAAAATTGTCATATTCATAGTTTTTTAATAGTAATTAATTTAAGAAAGTATCTTTTCTTATAAAAACAATGTTAGTTTCTGTTGCTGATACCTACATTTATTGTCAATTATATTTGAATAGTAATTACAAAAAACACGTCGATTATAAAATATGCTTACATATAAATGATGTTAATTAGTCTTTTTCAATGACATTTTTTTTCTGTTTTCTTCCCTTAAGAAAAACAATATCTTCTCGAAGTCAATACTTGACGAAGAAACATCATATATCTTTATTTTTTTTTTCGGAGAAGAGTTAACAAATAACAATACTAACTTTTATTGTTTGTTATTGTTCACAAAATAGTACGCACCCGATTCAGTTCGATCATAAATGATGATGATGAGCGTTAATAATGGATCTATCAATATTGTTCAGATATGAGAGCAAACTAACTTATCTATCTACGTTTGAGAATACTTGTTAACAGGAAATGACTACGAACGAGGCACTAAGCTTAGCATCATTGAACTGATATCATATTGATAGCTCAGTTTTTACTTTCTCTTAAAATGACTACATTCTGAAGCAAGAAAGCAATATATCATAGTTTCTTCAAAAATAAGGACAAAATATTTTTCTTTTTTTAGTAATCCCAGTTTTTACGTAAGAAAAATCAACGATGAAATTTGATAATTAGCTTTCCAAAATAACTATTCATACAGATTCAATTAAGAAAGAACATCATTTGCATTTGCATGAGATAATAAGGTCAGTTAGTATAAGTATTCACATATTATTATTGGGCATCGATAAAGAAACTCACGTTTTTTCCCATCGGCTATACTGTTTCTACTAAGTATTTTTTTAATGAGATTTAATCTAGCGATATAAAATTATCGTAGTATACTTTGAACGTACTTACCTGTTAGTAAACAGACTGATATTGTTAGAATAATATCACTTGCACAGAAAATATTTAAAAACAAGACAAGTTATATTTTCCGATTTCGATTGTTAATAGTTGTTCTCAACAGAAAATCAATAAGACATTCAAAATCAGCTCATAAAAATAAGTATTTCATGAGAAACTATTTCCCATTAAAAACTGGTCCATAGAAGAGTAGGAGGGCCAATATGAGACAAAACAAACGGAAGGAAGTACGGGTCATATTTTAATGAGAACTATTTTGCAATGAAGTATATATTTTTTGGGTACTCATCCATACTGATTTTTAATATAATAATTATATTCTATAGAAATCAATCATGAAAAATAAAAAGTTTCACATGTAAGCAATGTTTTTTTTTGTCATTTCATGCTAAAGTGACTTACTACTAAAGTTATTGATTTTTCTATTAATACTATTTAATAATAATCAAGTTTTGCTTCATTAATTTTAAGATTGCTACATCATCCGAAAAAAAAAATAATAATTAACAGGAAATGTAGGGAGTACTTCCTTACAAAATTTGTTTGTACTAAGTTCAAATCAAGCATGATGTTCTTCTTCATCAACCTATCTATTCTCTTTCGAAACAATAAATGACAAATCGATATTAAATTGTTACTTTATTTTATAGTCTATCTAATGGACTATAATAGGCTAGAAATACTTAACTATAAAATTTTCATATATCCGTTGTGTTGTTCAGTTGTAGTCTATGTTTCAAACCATACATCAAATCTAATGTTTCTAATACAGTTGTTTATAATCATCTAAAATCTGCGCCAGTATTTAAGAGTTGTAAGTGTATGTTCAATAACTCAACAAAGTTAACAGCAAGCGATATGCAATTTTCAGCAATCAAAAGAAAAGAATTCCGAATATCTTTCTATCTGATATTATTTAAGACGGAATCATTTGAAGATATATCGTTTTTACAAAGATTCCCAAAAAGTGCATGAAAATGGTGTTCTGTTTTAAGGAAATTTCAATAAAACAAAGTCAAAACATTGGCTAAAAGTTAACAAAATCTGATAGAGTTTGATTGAATACTTACGAAATTTTATTTTTTCACTATTTAGATGTAATAAGATAATTGACTGAATTATGCCTTTAACTATAGATCTGAAGTCTATCTACTTGTAGCATATGTCAAAATCAAGATCAAACCGAAACAGAACAGCGTTTTCATGCATGAGTTTGAAAATAATATTATCTTATATAGTATCAAATCAAAAGAAGTTCGGACTTCTCTTCTTTAGATTGCTGAAAACTAAAAGACACTAGTTGGTATTCCTCACGAGTTCTCGAGCTTTAATTCTAGCGCTGACGTTAGCCATTTGTGACGAAAACACTAAGAATTATTTCCTCTGAGAGTTTTCTATTCATATTCCTTTTCAATTTAAACTATTATAATCTATTGATTATAATGAGTATGTGTTAAAAATCAAAAGCAAATTAGATAAAATCTTACCATTTTTTTTTTAAAACAAACTTATAATAATTGAAAAAGTTTAAAATGCATACATAGACTAGTTGTGAGACATTTCTTTTAGGCTGGTCTAGATTTCCCCTGGAGGCTTTATAACTGACAGAAAATGAAAAACCATTTTCTCCTACTCCCTCGATTGAAGAAAGTAAGCCAAATTTTTTGTGAGACGTTGATGGAAATATGAATTGATATGATTATTTAATGGGTTAGCTACTTCCTTTTTCAATTCTGAAATCAAGAGTCTTTCGTAAAAAAAAATCTATCGTTCATTGAACTTCTATTCACTTAAGATAATAATTGGTCACCTTTGTCAACAAAATTACTGAAGAATATTGCTAAATCCCACTCAACAGCTCTTTAAAGTAGAACGTATTCTTGAAGTAGGTAAAACTCTTACATTGCATGAAATATTCTAAAAATTTAATCTCAATTAGCGAAGTGTTCAAACTTCCAATAATTTTACACTTAATCTCTTATCTAACATAGAATTTTCAAATACTAGACCGCAGCAAAACAATCATGGTTTAGCTTCATTAGAAGAAAACATCGATGTTCTTCAATCTTGCTTTTATTCGAAACATATCCAATAATACCTAGTTTTTCTTATGAGGGAACCCATCCAACAGATACCTCCCGTTTCAGCTCAGATTTTGCTCATCGGTAGAACTCACACCGTAAATAAAAATCCTAAAAGGACTTGTATCATTACTGTTTTGTTTCGGAGAACTAAGTGCAGTAAATTTTTAGAGAAATATTATTTTACGATGTTTCCAAAAGCTTTATTCTTTCCATATCTAAGTAAAGAAACATTTTTATGAGCTGAAATTTTATTTACAAACCCATCTAAGACATGATTACTTGCTATAGAAATATCAGTCATATCTGAATTGCCAAACGTAAGAAACAGGATCTCTTGTCTACTTGATTGTGTTCCTATGGAACGAATGATAAGCAATAGTGAACATTGTTAGCTATCGAAGTCTAATAATAATAGGAACCAGAAAAAAAAAAATCTTGCTACACTGCTATTCTCGTTTAGATTTATGCAAAATACTATCGGCTATTAATGAAAGAAGCGATCAAGAGAATTTTCTTCTCTATTCGTAGAACATCAACTTAAATATGACTGATATTTTTACAACAAGTAATCGTATATCAGATGCTTTTGGAAACAAAACTGCAGCTCATGTAAACTTTTCTTTTATTCCAATATGACAAGAATGAAAACTATTAAAAACACCTTAAACACATTTCTAGAGAAACTTGTAACGTTTGTTTCTCCAAAACAAAGCAGTCATTGTACGAAATTCTTTTACGGATTTTTATCTATATTACGAGACTTACATATAAGAAAAATATGAGCTAAACCAGGGAGTATTTATTGAATGAATTGCCTCGAAAGATGTTATCTGTGGTTACGGTGAACAATCTTAACCATAGAATTTCTTGAATATTTATTTTAACCGCATATTTGGTTAATAGAAACGTCAAGAAAGTAAGATGAGTATCATTTATTAGCTTGCAAAAATAATATTTTATGTCAGAAATATTTCTTCTATGTGTAACTTGTGACATGAAAAATGTCTTTAGACTTATCATTGCATTTTGTAATTTTTCTTATCTAATTAGAAAGTTATTTTTAAAACAAATTTAATATTAAAATCTTTTCACGACAGGTTCATTTGAGTTTCGAATAAATTGTGGCCACTTTTGATGCTGTCGTTACACATACATCGTATGAGTATGAAAAAGTGAGAATCAAATGTGTTAAAGTAATCAAAGGAAAAGCTTCTTTTTTTTTCATATTGAATCTCTTCTTTTTTTTTCTCTTTATTTACTTATGCCCTGAAGCTGAGGAATACTATCACGAAGATCATTATAAGATTGACTAATTATCATTCCGTCTGGAAATGATGTCATAGCCACAAGCGATATTCTTTCCTATATTTATTTCACACTGTTTTATAAAGATAGAAAAAAAAAAGAAAGAAAAACAAAACAAGAGAGACAAATTCATCTGACAATAAGATGGATATCACAGATATAAAGATGTAAAAGACTAGAAAATATAATTTTTATTTGTTTGTTCTTTTGTTTATCGTTTGTTATAAAAACCAGTTGAATAATTAACAAAAAGTATATTTATAAATAATATAACATAGAAATTATATGTTAAACATAATGAACAATTTAGTAAAAGTTCAATTTGTGCTAAAAAAGAAAAAACAAATAACATTCAAATGACTATTGACTTAACATAAAAGATATTATTCTATGTTTTATTCACTCAAACGAATGAGATTATTTCTATAGACTTATAAGAATGCCGCCGTTAACAAATACGAATGTTATTGTTCAATTGTTTTACAAAGTTAATCTACTTTCCATTAACCGGATACAATTAAACCTACCATAAGTTGGTGATGATGATATTTTCTCTTGTTTTGCTATTGTTATATTTGATAGAATGGATTCTAAATTAAGGTTAAAAATTTTTTTTTTATTATTCTCTTTAGTTTTCGAAAAACAGAAATATTATTTTACCATCAATAATAATAAATGCTTTAGCTACTTTAAATTGATTTTCAGCTTGACATTCATACATACCAAATATATTTGTATAATTTAATGGATCAATCTTTAGAAAATGAAAATTTAGTTTTCGTTTCTATTTAATTTATATTTACTTGTAATAGAAGTATTAATTGTATTGTATAATCATTAATTTCTATACGTTTTATATTATTTATTTCAATACGATTTCGTTTCCATTTTGCTGAAGTCAATGGACGTGCTATTATGGTACAATTGAGTAAAATTTGAGAAGAAAAACGAGATAATGAAGATTGAACTAGCATTTCAGGTGGGACTAAAACAATCAAACATATCTATTTATCAAATTCTTACAAGATTAAGCAATCAGGTGACTTTTTATTATTCTTGTATAGTTATATATAAATATTTTAAAAATTGAAAAATTCGATAGTTAGCAAGCGGAAAATAGGCGAGAACTCGGTGCACTATATGTGAGATTAACTCTTTTTTGTTTGTAGAAAAAATTGAATACATCAGTATTTTTTTCAAATTTTCTCGTCTGGAAGGGCAATTTAAATTCCGGAAGAGTGAACACATCATTTTTTTGAGAGTATACACATTGAATACGTGGTACAATAGTGACAAGCTCTCGGGAAGGTCGAATCGATCTTCCAAGAGACATCAACTTTTCGCTGTGTAAAATATTTGAAACTAGTGACGAAAATTTTTAATGAGAAAATTTTAAAGATTATCAATGAATAAACTCAAAGAAAAAAAATTGGTTTTTCGCATGTGTGAAAACTGCTTAACCCATATGTGTTTAAATCCAACAAAAACAAAATACTTTGCACCCTGCTAAGATATATTTGTTCGAGTACATGTGTGAATGGACTGCATTTATATAGTATAGACATTCCTTTTTTTTTTTTTTTGTTTTTTTATTGATGAACATAATGGTTCAATGAATGACAGAAGGGAAGTGCACAAGCATGTGTCCACTTTTGAGATCATCATTCATTTCTCTCATCACATGTGCATACAAACAGTCAATAGATATATGTGTATATTAAAACTAATCATTATAGTATGATCTCTAATTTCATACTATTTCGACCTCCTACTGTTTAATAAAGAATAAGAAAAGAAAAGTTCATATAAAATTTGTACTTATTTTTTATTTTATTTGAATGTCATATAAGAGCTTTTATATTTATATAAATAATTGAGTCACTAGAAGTACGTAATACTCGAGAGTATTCTTTTTTTTTAAGTACAATAGCTTTTATTCATTTTTGATAAGATGACATCTTCTTTTTCTTTGTATTAAATTAGAAACCAAAAAAAGAAAAAAAGAAAAAAGAAGACACTTACTCGCTGGCACTAAATGTTTTATGCGTGTATCGCGTGGTGGTATACCATTATCAGCAATACATTGATAGGTCATTGGTGTTGTACGTGAAAAATTTCTTATAATTAATTTATTATCATAAGTTATAATATCTAATAGAAATCAAGAATATTTTTTCTTTGTTTCTATTTGAAATTCTTACTACGATCATTTTTTTTATTTGTTAAATATTTCTTTTCTGGTATATCCCAAAGAATTTTCGGTTGTGGAATTCCACGAGCTAAACATTTTAAAACAATTTGTTCATTCTCAATAAGTATTCCATTATTATTTGATTCAATTGTTATATCGACAATTTTTGGCGGTGCTAGAATATATACAAAAAAAACGAATGAATGACTAATCGAATTTGTCTACTAACAAAATACTATGAACACTTGATTTCAAACGCGTTACTATTCTCATCAATAGAAATTTAAAGACAAGAGAAAAAAATGCATGTTAATGGATCAATTAATGAAACTTAACAAAAAAAAAAAGAAGTCGAATGAGAACACTGTAGGGAGTCGTTGTATTACATAAAAATATTCTCGTCACCATGTGAAATTTTAAAAAGTGACTTTTATGATTATTTGTATGATTTTTATCGATCAAATAAATTTTATTGTGTGAAAATTTCCTGTTTAGTCCCATCAAATAACAATCGGAAACACCTTTCACGATATTAATAAAAATAAAATATGGTCACAGATGAGTGTGAAATGATAAAAATCTATGCTTACTCAAAACGGTTAAATTAAATCGTTTTATGATTGTTAATGTTCGATCATCGGATGAGATGCGACATGTGTATTCTCCTGCATCATCGTCTGATACATCTGATAGAATAAGACTCCATGTCCAAGCATATCTAAACAAAACAAAAAAAAAATAACATCTTTTAACATCATCCCGCATTTATGTTGACTAACGAGTTTTTTTCTTTTTTTCTTAGTCAAACAAAAAATGTCACGTACGTATGTTCAAGCATAAATCGTGCGCGATCATCACTACCAATATTTTCACCGGTCTTTGTTACCAATAAACGTCCTGTGGGCCCATAAAAATCAACCTAAAGCATATATTATCATGTACATATATATTTCCCAAGTGAAAATGACATAATCATATTTTATTATGCTTCGTTTTTATTTTCATAGATTGAAGAAAACAAAAACGAATGATTGATGATATGAAATCAAAAAAACTTACTGGTTTGTGAGAATATCGTTCGGGTAGATCACATATAAATGTTGCTGTTTCACCCGTATTTACAGATAAATTTTCCAAATAATCATCAAATGATATAATTGATGATGAAAATAGTAGAAGAATAAATATGATTATACTTAAAACCATATGAATATTTTCTTTTTAAACATCAATACCTTGTCATATCTAGAAGAAAAAGAATGATCTTCTATGAATGCCTCCAGCAGCATCACTCGTTCATTTTTCTTTTGTGTTCTTCTTTTTCTCTTTTCTCTCTCCCTCTCACTCACTCACTCATTCTCTTTTTCTGTCCATACACATAATTATATATATGTGTGTGTGTTCATTTTTGATTCAATACGTGCGTGCGTGCATAGGTTAATAGAGAAAGCATGACTGATTATCAATCCGTACTTGCAAAGAAATGAACGAGAGAAAGATTGAGTAGGAAATTATAGACCTTGAACAAATTGAAAAAGAAATCATCTTACTGGAACACTAAACAGTGTGCATTCACGCGCATGCGCATAAACACTAAATCCTTCGGCTTTCAACATATTTATTTTATTATAATCTTCTTTTTTTCTCTCCTACTTTTATAGTCAATGAGATCGCTCAAGGTCGAAAGAAGCCTTTTGTTTTTTCATTATACGCTCAAAAACTAATTGAAAAAAACAACAAATGAGAGCCATTTTTTGACAAGGTCGTCTATTCGATAATGGATGAATAATTATTATTATGCTTAATAAAAAAGAAAGGTCAAGAGTATGGAAAATACACACCTAAATGTAACGATATTTTGGCGAATGATTTCTTTCTTATGTCAATATGATTACATTCAAGAACATTTATATATATATATAGATACTTATTTGAAGATGTCTCTTTCCTTTTTCTTTGTCTACAAAAGGCAATAAAAGGAAGTTGCACAGCCAGGAATAGATAGAGAAAAGAAAAAAAATGAATTTACCCTGGACCTAAGCGGAAAATGACAACCGTGCAACAAGTAACAATAGCCTACTGTTTCTAAATGCTCTCTATATGTACAGTAGACTAATGATAGAGATAAAAGTATTAATTGAAATAAGAGAACAGGAACAGCGGTGGTATAAAGTTCGAGTGTCACAGAAAAATGAATGATCAAAAAATGTATGTCTATGGTTTACTGTTATTATCAATAAATATATAGATGCATTAATGAGGTAGTTGATTACTCAATCGACTAGTATTTTATATAGTCTAATCTCATACATATATGTATGAGAGACAAAGAACAGATGGAAGAGATGAGAGACAACATGCAATCGTTTTATAGCCGATGACGGATAAAGACACAAATGATGACAATTGATTCTTGACATGAGCTTTGTATCTTGTTTATACATACAAATAGTTTGTCTACGTTCATTTTGTTTTCTAATGAATAATTAAATGATATTTTAGGACATAAAACGAACAAGTACGATTATATCGATAAATCAAACTAAGATAGATCAAATGTTTGAAAGCAGAAACAAAAAACTTTCGAACATATCCAATGATGATGAAATGTACATAGACATAAGTAACAGTGTTTTTGTTCAAGAAAAATCTGCAAAACATTATCTATTGGTTGTCATTGTTATTCTATGAATCAATTCAAGAGAAAATAAAATTATATTATGAGATTATGTTTTTCTAATCAGAATGTAGCATATGGTAATTTCAATATCGATAAGAAGAAAATTTTTTTTTAAAATACCATCTGTTTACCTAAATAATCGTAGACTACGTAGTAGAATTATTCTTGATTGAAAATCAAATATATTATTTTCTTTGTAATATTGATGTTGAATTTAATAATAGTTTGTTAGTACTGTGCTTATTCAATAATCAAAAGAAAATTTCTCGTTTATTCTGTCATATCATTGGAAATGGTAAAGATTAAATGGATTTTAATTTGTTTCGAATTTTAGTAAGAAGTCTATGAACACTCGACGGAAAAGCTTTCAGCGCAATCCAAGCGAGATTAAAATGTGATACACGATGTCGCTGCTCTTGCTAATTAAAGGAAAATTGCTTCATTATATCTATTTTGGGATACATTTCTTCAATATCTTTTTCCTTAATCCTCCAGAAATGCAATAAGGAAATTGTTTGTATATTATAATGAGATTTTATTGATATACACTATTTGATCGAATATCAATAACATCTGTCACGGTCTATGATAAATTTCTAAGATGTCTGTCACGGTCTGTGATGGATTCCCAAGGATTCTGTTACAATCTATGAGAGCAGTAGGCTCAAACTCTCACTATTATACTTCAACAATCCTTTTAGATCATGTTTCAAAAAATGTATCAATATTAATAGATTAATTATTTCGATGAAATGATATATTTTCTTTTTTTGATGAAAAATCGATTCAACATGTATAATTAACAAGATGAGCATGACTGAATTAATCAAAATGATTAAACTGATGCAAGTTTGATTTTACTTTTGTGATGGATATATCCAATAAAAAAACAATAACTGATAGTGAGCTGAAAGCATTTTTTTCAAATATACTGAATGATTGCTGTTCATCTTCGAAACCAGAACTTGATTAAAGCATTATAGATATCTGTTTTCTAGTATTTACGACATCTTTTTCTAATGTCAAAAGAATTGCTTTTTTACTTGTACTCTCGAGACATATAGAGATAGATGAAGATGATGTTGCGTACTAGAAAGTATGGAGACAACATTATTCAGAACAACTATAGATTTATTTTTATATGCATAATAGTTTTTATTATTATAACTTGTTAGATAATCTTAGTTCGGAATGAATCCATACAATCCTTACATGAGTCCTTGAAAATGTATAAATAGAATTGTGAGAGTACTTTGTATTCTTTCAAAAAAAAAGTGACAACTCTAATCAAAATTCAAAGAGACTGAAAGAAATCAATCCTAATAGTAGTCGACATGTGACACCTCCTTACCATTCTCTTGTTGGTTTATCATTTCATCGTTGGAAACAGATTTTACTACAGTTGAATCATGTCATCTTGTTCATACAATGCATGCTGCATATCACTCATTTTGAGAGCTAGGACAGCAAAGTGCTAAA